CAATTCTTGAAGCTACTTCGCTCAACTAGAATTCCACCTTCACAGAACAATCTTCTTCGAATAAACAAATCTCATATTGGCTCATCCATTAAGTATATTTTATCTATGAAATATTCCTATACAGCTATTTAATTGATGACTTTAACATTATCTGCCAAATTAAGTCCAAAAAATTCGTACAAGATTTACATATTCACACATTCAAATGCCCTGGTACGGCCAAGGGTTGGGAGAGTCAACTCTCACTCTCAAAATAATCTCACATGGCCAAGCGTATGCAACCACTGACAGGGAAGTCCTGCTCATTACTCTATCGCGGTGAGGTGGTTCTTTTTCACAAAATTGAGAGGATGAAAAGTGAATGTCCGGTGCCTTAATCGTGTTGGTGGACATGGAGGATCAACCCAGGAGAATTGAAAAACCCTGATTCCAAACGAGTGGTTCACATGAGTTCCAGTATCCTGAAGGAACAAATGGCGTATGAAGCTATTGTTGGTCACCGGCTACCATGGGACTTTATCTCTTAAGGTTGATCCACTGACTTTTGTATTAGACCTCTAGGTTGAAGGCTCCGGATGTGGCTCTCTAATAAGACCACTTGCCTCGGTATGGGCACCCGATTAGTATTCCAGCCCTCAGACAAATCGAATGATAAAGTGTGGCGCATATATATTTGGTGCTTCTTTGTACCAATGTTTATGCGTTTAAATAAATAAATAAATTTGAGAATGCACTAGTGAAATAGGGTTCACCAACACCACCCCGTGGAAAACGACCTTGCTCAAAAATGCTGACCAGAATAAACAAATAAAACCATTCAAACTGTGGCCGAAATTCTTAAGAAGTCATGAAACCGATGACCTTCCTAACAATCACATCAATAAATAATACAGGTACACAGAAAGTACGGAAAATGTGGGAGACCGAGAAGACCAACCAAATAGCTGCATAAATGAAGAGATACAACTTATCGGTCCTCGGAATCAGTGAGATACGTTGAACCCAATCCGGACAGAAAAGGATAATTTCGGGAGAGATGCTGCTCTTCTCTGCTTCATTACCATAACCATAATCAAAAGTGTACAAGTATATATAAACAATTGTCTACACAAGATACTCAATATCCGTTTACCGGATACCATCAACAGCAACAACCTACAATTGGAGAGAACAAGCCAGCTTCCATTTGAAGAGGAAATGGAGAAAAGACTTTGGAAGTGGATAGGACATACATTACGTAAATCTTTAAATACATCATGTATCAAGCGCTAACTTGTAATGTTGACTGGAAACGTAAAAGTGGAAGGCCAAATAACATACCGTGTCGAGAATTGGAAGTAGACATGACATGGAACATTACTAAAACACTGAGATTCACTCGTCAAGTATATTGCTAAGGAAATAAACGATTGTTTTATTTCTATTTTATTTCTATAACATTTGTAGATCACCAACACAGGTGGTCTCTGACAATGATCGCTCGCCTACTCAAATTATACGAAGATAATATAGTCTCCTAGCCTACATTACATTCACACCTCATGGTTAGTGCGGCCTGCTTGAATCCCTGGGCTACCTGTTTCTGTCATCTAAATATTTCAACAAGTTATCTGGGTTTTTTAAAAATTGGTTTTTAACCTATCATTATGTCTCTTGATCGCATAACCTATACAGGCGCGTTTATGAAAAGCTTACTTCCTTTCGCTGCAAAAATTACAAACAAGTACAATAAGAGACATTGTGGTGTTTGGCAATATGCTTTAGAGAGAATAAACATTAATCAAATGTCGATTCCCGAGCTGCTTAACTCTAACTGTCGATCTCTAATTAACAAGGTGGACAATCTCCAATTTCTGCTAAGTCAAAACATGTATCGTAATTTTGGTGTCATCACAATTCAAGAATCTTGGTTGACTGACTTACAGGATGATTGCCTAGTATCATTACGTGATTTTAATATCTATCGTCAGGATCGATCAAACAATAAAAAGACCTGTGGTGGCGCAGTAGCTACTGGGTTTTTTTTGTTTTGTTTTGTTTTTGGTAAAAAACTTGTTGAAATAACTCGTGCTGAGAATTCTATATTGTACCAGATTATAATATTGAATAAAGCCATTAATTATTATTATTATTATTATTAGTAACTAACATGTTCAGGTACTGTGGCTATTTTAATGACCGTATAGAACGAATATAATGTTATTACAAAAATTAGTAGTAGAAACAGACTGAAACCACTACCTCATATACCCGTAGATGGCGTAGAGCTGGTTAGTGAGCGTTGGTTGTTCTTGACCTTGACGAGGATTAGTAAATTGTTTGACATTCAGTAACATGCCTGCCGAATGGTCTGGCTAGGAACCAGTGACATTTCACTGGACCTACAGATTTTACCATTAGTCTTATTCTGCTACCAATGGATTGCAAAAGTACTTGAATGCAGTCTAACTTTGTAGATCTATAACTAGTAATTCCTATTATAAGTGATTGTCTTATCATTAAAAGCTATCTTATTTAACTTAGTATATCAATTTTCATTGATAGGCTTAATGATGACGCGTTTACGGATCGTTTTTCAACCAGTCTAATCATTAAAAATCAAAGTAAACAAATTAAGTTGACTGATAACATGTTTATAAATCTAAACAACACTCAATGTTAGTTGATATAGAGATGAAGTCAAGACCATATATATCTTCTGTAACTTCATAAAATAGTGTCATGTCTGTCATTTGAGAGTAACACTAAAAATCCAAGAGTTTATCAGCTTTAAAAACCAGAAAATATGGTACTAGCTATTAGTCAGTAATCAATGTTTAAGAGTATTTAAGATACATAGAATGTGATTCGTGGCGTGTTTGACTTTTTGATAACGTTTCTTACTATGAGACTAGTTGACGTGTAATTGAGTCAGATACGGAGGATATATGTATATGTATATAAATCTATGGGTTGATTTTATTACAAGAAGATCAATGAAGTACGTAAACAATTTCATGCTATTTTTTTGAGGGGAATATTTTTCTATTTTTCCAGAGCCAATTTTTTAGGCTCTTGATATTGATCGGGATGTATGAGATGTAGTCAGTTATCATTATTCAATCAGGTATCATTTAACTTTTAACATCATTTATATGACATATTTTCTAATAATGGCAGTACTTACTAACTTACGACTGTTAAGGCCAATGGAGCATAGGCCGCCGACCAGAATTCTATAACATACTCTGTCCTGAGCCTTCCTCTCTAGTTTTATCCAATTTTTGTTCATTCATCGCATGTCTTTTTCCATTTCTTGGCGTAATGTATTCTTTGGTCTTCCTCTTCTCCTCTAGCCTTGAGGATTCTATGTGAGGGTTTGCCTTGTGACGCAGTTGGCTGCTTTCCTCAATGTGTGTCCTATCCACATCCAGTTCTTCTTCTTGATTTCTTCCTCCATTTGAATCTCACTTGTTCTCTTCCACAGTAGATTATTTCTGATAGAGTCCGGCCAACGGATCCGAAGTATTTTGCGTATACAACTGTTGGTAAACACTTATATCATCTGCATGATGATGGTTTTCGTAGTTGTGCAAGTTTCCATCCCATACAGTAGAACTGTCTTGACATTTGTATTGAAAATTATGATTTTGGTGTTGGTTGACAATTGTTTTGAGTTTGGGATGTTCTTCAATTGTAAATATTCTGCTCTTGCTTTGCCGATCCACGTCTTCACATCTGCATCAGATCCACCGTGTTCATCAATGATGCTGCCAAGATATGTAAAGTTTTTCACATCCTCCAGAACTTCACCGATAATAGCTGTAAACATGAATATAATCATTGTATATGAGATGATGATACTACCACATATTTAATGATGATGTATTAAAGATTGCTAAATATCTCTTTGTCCTAATATCATTATAGCTCTAACCTCATTTATGAATATGAATATTTGAACTACCACATTTATTACAATAAAATAAAAGTTTTGATGTATCGAGTATAATGTACATACTACTGTAGTGAACAAGAACGTGGATGAGGACAATCGACTGTATTTCAGCAGAAGTTACAGACTATCTCATTAAATTCTGATGATCATACAACAAGTAGTTAATTTGCAAAATAACAACCAATTGTCTTAATCTTCAATGTTCGTTCTGTAAATATCAGTAAATATCTTCTTTAATTTCATTGTTCATGCATTTTCCTACCAATTGCGCTTCATTTCAGTTTGCTCCTTATCGGTCTTCTGCCAAAATACATTCTATGTCCGACCATCACTATATACTACTTATTTGGATATAAGTAGACCACACTACACTATTACTACTACTACTACTACTACTAATAATAATAATAATAATAATAATAATAATAATAACCCATTTGATGAAAACAACAAGTAACTTCACTTTCATGTTAGTTTATAATCCACATATTACGTCATTTAAATGTTTGTACATTTCAAAATTGTTCTTTATTTTGTTCAATATTGTTTTACTAAACTTCATCACTAGGGTTAGCCTTATAAGAAAATTTTGATCCATCATCATTTATAATCAGTTATCAACATTCCAAAGGGATGTCATTCATAAGTTGTTATGTTCATTGTACAATATCAGCTAAGACATCATCATTATTATTACTATGATTATTACCATTACCATTACTATTACTATTATGATTATTGTTAGTAGTATTATTAGTAGTATTATTGTTTAAATGATTAAATCTACATTAACATTCATCATTTGAAGGTTTTTCATGGTGTAGTTTATTACATACATCTAACGATTAACATTTTAAAAAAAGTGGTAGGTGATAAAATTTCTTACTATAAATATCTATCGAATCATGTTTACTTGTATTCACATCATAAACAAGTTCTATTTGCAATCAAGATCTCATAAATTTGAACATTGAACATTGAATACATTGACAATTGAACACATTTAAAAATTGGCGGGAATTCAAACGTTTTTTGAGATTCGATCATTATTTGATCTTTATCAATGATTTGGTATTTGATATTATTAATCAATTTGATAATTGGAAGTATTATTAGTAATGGCAATACAAATCATAATGAAGATAAATCATTTTTAGCGCTACCAAACAATAATATTTATACAAGAAGTCATTTTTCAAATAAAATCTTTAAAGAAGAACATATTGAAGAAGAATCTATTGAATTACCGGAATATCATCATTTGGATGATGAATCTTTGAATGCTTTGAATGTTTCCAAGATTCATTCTAATGAAACAAGTACCAACTCATCATTATTATTATCATCATCATCTGAAACATTAAATAAATCAAAAAAGAAATCATCTAAAAATCTTCGTAAAGTATTTCGTAAACAGTTGAGTTCCATAGATATGGGATTTAGTGGAAGTTACTATCTTTGCTCTAATGCTAATTTATTGAATATTCCAAATATATTTTACCATATTTTTACTTTAATCTCTGTCATGTGTTTTATGACGGTTTCTTAGATATGAATGTTCTTTGGTTCACTTTCCATCATCGTCAATATTGTTATTGTTTAAATGACTTGTTTATATCTAACCCCTTCGTTTATTATAATCTTCTGATACATATACATTTTAAATAAAGCTGAATTATCTATTAATGATTCCATAATTTACATACTCGATAAGTTTTTGTATAATGACAAAAATCTATGTTTACGTCGAATTTCTCGAAAACCCGAAGACTTAGTTTCTTGCTGGTTGAAACTATCTAGTAATGTGTATATGGAAACTTGAGAAGACAGATGTTCCACATGTTATCCAAGAATATATATCCTTATGTTGTGGAATTAACTTTTGGTTAAACCTTAATTACATATTGCCTTTTCATATCAGTGAGATAAATGAGATTTTGAGTACAAACAGTTTCTGATTGTCTTAGGGAATCTACCACTATGTATAGATAAATTGACTAAAGATTAAATGTTGAATGGGGTAAAGAGTTCATAACCGTTATTTCTGAGTTTACACCACATAGTTTCATCTAATGAATTAAAGTAAATATGTGATCAATGAGAGTGAGAGGTATCACTTATCTAGGAATCTGTCACTCAAGTTTTCTCTTCAAACGCATTCTCTGTAACTATAAGATTTTTTTATATTAACTTTTAATAACTACATACTGAAGAATAACAGACTAACTAGTAATTTAATAAACCCAATGGTTTAACATTTAGTGGCATAATTCAATGACTAAAGATGTTACTGTGGTAGTTTGTTATCTGAGAGCAGAAATATTCTTGAGTTCTTTATAATTATCAGAAAGGGTTTTTTTTTACAGATTTAGTATTTTCGTAGTTGAAAACGTGAGTCCATTGAAGCTAGACCATCATGGAAAACCTGGAAGCATTGTACGGCCGTTTCGTCCTATTATGGGACTCCTCAGCAGTGCGCATCCACGACCTCACATGGTGAGATTCGAACCCGAAACCTACCAGTCTCGCACCAGAGCACTTACCCGATAGACCACTGGGGCGGCATCAACTATGAAAATACTAAATCTCCACGAAAAACCCTTCTGATAATAATAATCATATGCTCACTAGTGACTGGTTTCGAGAGGTAAATCCAGGAGTTCTAGTGAGAAGCAGTGACCAGTGGAGTTCAAACCACGTCTGTTGTGAGATAGGAACTCACTGAAGACAATTATTGAACGTTTGCTCAACTTTGTGGGTTGGTTGGAGTTAGACATAAACGCCATCGGATGCTGGCTCAGTGGTCTATCGGGTAAGTGCTCTGACGTGAGACTGGTAGGTCCTGAGTTTGAATCTCGCGAGACGAGGTCATGGATGAGCACTGCTGATGAGTGCCACAGTAGGACGAAACGCTCGTCCAGTGCTTTCAGGTTTTCCATGGTGGTCTAGCTTCTTTGTAATTATTTCTCTCTGGATTGCTATATATAATTTGTTAGTATTAATAAAACTCTTTGGCTTATCCACAAAAATTAGAGTGTAAGGACAGTCATTTAATTTTATAAAGTAAACTGCTTATTGTTACACAATTCATTCGCACTTTACTTAGTTGTTTTAAATATCAACACTATCTACGTCCACACAATTTGTATGAAGGGTTTCAATTTGAGTTATCAACTTAATTTTCTTTTCTAGTAAACTTCTACGTTTCTAATAAGTTACTTAATCTTCAGTTTACTAAGTGCATTTAGGTATTATAACAGTAAAATGAGATATATCAGTGATAGTATCAACGTAGGCTTGGTGAAGTTTTATTATTACGTAATAATTTAATCGAAAATTACTATAGTCATTGATAAATCATGGTTCTTAAGTTGTATTATTTGAGGGTGGTTAATATGTTAACAATTTTATTAACCTTAATATATTATAATTTAAAACAAATCAGATATTTATAAACAAAGATGTATAGTGCCTAACAGTGGAATCCAGGACGCGCGTTTCGTCCACTCAGCTGAGTGGATAACGCGATGGTGTTTGAAGCGAACAGTACGGGGTTCGAGTCTCAGAGTGAACATCAACTCTGAGATGCAGGCACATCCAGCTGACGAGTCTCAAATAGGACGAAATACGCGTCAAGTTGGATTCCACTGCTAGCCACTATTCATCTTTCCACATAAAGCTTGTGACTTCAGTCAATATTGAGACAATACTCACAGTATGCACATATGCCAATAAGAGACTCATCATTTGCAGTCCTAAACATCAATGTGAAGATTCAAACAAACAATAACAAGTGAATTTAAATCAGATATTTCTTGACCGCTGAAATTGATTCGAAAACAATACCCGATGATATCACCACCACTTTAGAGATATCCTAATCAAATGATGATTTAATTTTAGAGTAAGGTCCATGACTGATTCAAACAACCATGTAATTGGTACTTGTATATCATCAATCATTTCAGTCAATAAAGTATTAGTAACGTTATAAATTAAATTTTATTGATCAAATTTGAAAACATAATCTTACAAAAAAACAAGAATAATTTTTTTAACTACTGATAAACTACTGAATAAATATTTCGAATATATTGATTGATTACATAATGTTTGTTCCCTTTGAAATTCAACTTATAAATAGATATATATTCACACATTTATTCGTCCAGCTGAAGAGTCCCAATTAGGACGAAACGCGCTTCAAACTGTATTCAACTGTTAGCCACTATCCATCTTTTCACAATTGATTGATCACTGGGTGGTGATCAATCTCATGCGTGTCAGGTCCTTCTTAGTGCTGATCGAATGCTATCGATCAAGTTGCAATGTGGCCACCAGTCTAGGTGGCTCGACACTGCAGGCATTATATACATTAGGGTAACATGGTGGTTGGAGGTGGTCAACAGGAAACCCTGGACCCGGGTTTCGTGCTACTTGGCACTTGTCAGCAAGGTGTACCTGTAATCTTGAGGGAACTGATGCCCCCTGACGGATTCGATCCCGCGTCACTCAGCTTCACAGTCAGAGACGTTACCACTGAGCTATTCGGGCCGCGACCGACCTCCTGTAGGACTGAGATCTAATCACAATTGATTGATCACTGGGTGGTGATCAATCTAATGCGTGTCAGGTCCTTAGTGCTGATCGAATGCTATCGATCAAGTCACTATCCATCTTTACTTACCATGATATTTATTAGGTTAAAATATCCCAAATTTATCAACAAAAAAAAAGAATAACTGTTCACCATTATTATTATTATCATCATTAAAGTAACCTGTTAAGGATCGGGATATTTCAGGCTTTCTAACTAAAGAAAAAAAATAAGCTCCACCCTAAATTATTTCTTCTGAAAAAGAGAAAAAAAGAACAGCAAATCCATTTCAACTATGGGTTAGAAAAAAAATAATCAAATTTTTTCATTTTAATTTCTATATAAATAAGGTAAATCTTGTTACCATAGCAACAATAAATGTCCACAATTTTCAGATTATACGACGAATAGTTGATTTATACAATAAATGAGAATTTATTGTTATCAACATCTAATTTCTGGTTACATTTGAAAATAAACTTTTTATCTTAAGTTCAATTATCTATGGGTGTTATAAAGAATTTGAAGGGAATCACTCCTTCTTCATATGACCTTTACAGGAATAAAGAAGTCATAGATGAGGAACAGGTTTAACAAGAAAGAATTTTTTAAGGGAAAAGTTCATCAATCGTTAGTTTTCCTAAAGCTAGAAAGAGATGAGATGTTTGAATCTTAAATTCACCATAATTTATTGATCTAGTACAAAATGATCTATTAAGGGTTGAGCGGTAGATTTTGTCTGAATGAATATAATCAGAAGGGGATTTGTGGAGTATGAATATAAGACGATAATGATTTGTAAATTGGACGGAAAAGAACTTGATGCGGACTAATAGCTTATTTAATAAACTGAACATAAAGTTTTTCACTCAATAAACGAATGATTGTGATATATACAAGCTTTAGATTTAATTTACTAACATACTCCTGTTATCCATCTTCGAGTAACATAGGCAGACCATCAACATTCTACATCTAACTCTGTCTTGAAAAATCCTTTCTACTTGTTTACAGTTGCTATTCATATTGAAGTTACTTCTATATTTGACTTTAGTGATTCATCTGGTATACTTTCAGATCTTATTGCTTTCCCACTCTTGATTTACCTGATGGTCATCTTGATTTCTTCGATCGTTGGTGGGTTGACATCTATAGGAAGGCCTGTAGACGCTGGTTCGATGTGCGGTTTGTATAGTGGGACTGGTCTATTCAAGAGTTTTTCAAAATTTACTACCCATCAATTTCTCTGTTCTTGAATCTCAGTGATTATCTTGCCTTCTCTGTCCTTGAACGGTCTCTCGGGCATACTATATTTCCCTACCAGTTTCGTCACTGTATCATATAGTTGTCTCATATTTCCTTCTCTTGAAGCTTTTTCCGCTGTCATTGCTAGGTCTTTCACGTATTTGTGCTTGTCGTCTCTAATGCTCCCGTTCACTTGCTTGTTTGCTTCTAAATATTCAGCTTGTGCCTTAAGTTTCTCTGTTCTTGTTCGTCTGTTATTAATTGTTGCCTTCTTGTTCTTCTTCTTTTTCCTTTCTTCAATCTTGTCCAGGGTTTCGATAAAGATCCATTTATTATGATGATGCTTGTGGAGACCCAAAACCTCCTGACACGTTGAAGTTGATGCTTCTTTGATCGCTTTCCAGTTATCTTCCATCGTAGTTTCTTGTTTTTTCAGTAGATCTTGTAAAGCTTGGAAGCTGGTGTTGAGAGTTATCTTGAATTTGTTGAGTTCGTTAGTATGTCGAAGGAAGTCCATATTAAACCTTCGTAGTGCTGTTTTGCCAGTTTTCCCTGCTTCTCTAGCTTTAGTTCTATCTTGACAATTACCAGGTGGTGATCTAAAACTATGTCAACTACTCTCCCGGTTTTCACGTCTTCCACTGACCTTCTGATTTTTTTCGTAATACAATTATGATTGATCTGGTTCTCTGTTGTGTGATCCGGTGAGACACATGTGGCTTTGTGTATGCGTATGTGTGGCAACATAGTGCCACACATAACGATAATTTTGAATTCACATACATTTGAAAATCTGTCACCATACTCGTTCCTTTCTTACAGTCAGTCCATGTCGGCCCATTACACCTTCATACCCAATGTTGTCCATTCCAACTTTTTTGTTGTGGAGCCCTTCATTTTGATATCAATTAGATAAGAGGATATTGTCGATGGGCTCACCAATTTAGTGGTCTGGGATCTGACTCCAGTTAGATCAAACAAATGATCTTTATTAATTGATTGTTTTCGAAATATACATCCTGACTATTCTCGTCTATAATAATATACACTTGAATCGCCTTCATGAATAACAGGACAAAAATAAGTCAAATACGCAAATGAATTTTTAAAATACACATATTTTGTACACTCACTGATCTCGACAGACTATCAGAGGAATGAAACGAAATGACGCATAATGGAGAATACGTGTGAGCTGATACAATTTAATCAAGCATTAATCAACATTATATCCGAACAAAAAAATAATCTACAGACATGTGATGAATAGGATAAGAAGTGTATACACATACACTCATATTAACAATTCCAGGTTAATAAACGAGTAATTAACATGGTCATAATATGATTCATGATGGATGGATAAACTAGCTTGTCCGGAAGCCAGTATAACTTATGTAGGTTTAACATAGTAACCGAAACTACAGTATGTATCTCTCTATTTATATGAATTAGTTCAATGTACAATAAATGACAATGATAAATAAAACATTGTAAAATACATTTATATAAACGATTACTATTGAACTATTGTTCATATAATTCGTATATGTGTTATAATATAAACACTAAACTATTGAATAGATCTTAATCATTTTTTACTTGATTTGCCGGATACATTATGAATCAAATAACATGGTTATCTGTATTCTATACCAAAGGATATTTCATCCTTATGTTATGTTTCTTTATTTATATTCCTTCATTGGTATCCCTAAATGAATCGGATGTGACAAATGAACAAATTATTGATTATCCATCAATGAAACAAATACTCTCCAAAGTTAAGAAAGCTAAACAATTTGATGTATTGAATGATAAAGAGAAGAATAAAACAGAACCTGATGAATTAATTATAGCTCCAGTACGATTTAATCGTTTACGACGTTATTTTAGACATCAAAGACGTATGATGAGAGCACAATATAGAATGATGAGATTACAAAGAAGATTATACCGTCGACATTATCGTCGTCCATTTGGTTACTTTCCATAAATAATAATCTTGAATTATTTAAATATTCATTTTACATTATTATTACTACTTATTATTGATTGTAACGGTGATCTTTCTGATTGTTTATCAGTCAAGTTGGTGAGTTCTATTGATGAACTAATTCTATTTTCAAAATTTATTTCTCGTATCAAATGGATAAAAGGCGATTTGACATCTACTTTCTAATTAATTCTGTTTAATTTTACTGTGTATTGATGAATTTACTAAAATAAATCTTAATGAGCTGTTAGTGTTTTTATTTTAATAGTTAGAAACTTTATAAGCAAACATGGATAGTAGCTGACAGTGGAATCCAGTTTGACGCGTGTTTCGTCCTAATTGGGGACTGGTCAGAACGAAACGCGCATGAAACTGGATTCCACTGTTAGCCATTATCTATCTTTGTTTATAATGCTTGTACGCATAGTATGCACATATGTCAATTAGAGACTGACCAGTTACAATCCTGAAAACATCAATGGGAAGATTCAAACAAACCAATACTAAGTGAATTCACCATAGAAACTCTTCTAGTAGAATAGGTAAATAATCTTTAAAAATAACTTATAAGGTTTTTAAAATATTTTTCAACTGATTAAATGGTTAAGTTCATTTTGAGACGACTAATTATGCAATTTTAAATAATTAAATTAATTGTTGAATTGATGAGTCGACTACAGCTAGACCATCATGGAAAATCCGAAAGCACTAGGCGGCCGTATCGTCCGAATATGAGACTCCTCAGTAATGCTCATCTATCATCTTGCACGTGGGAATCGAACCCAGGACTTTCGGTTTCACGCGCGAACGCTTAACCTCTAGATCATTAAGTCGGCATCCGACGGTGTCAATGTCTAACTTCAACCAATCCACGATATTGCGCCACTATAAACCAATGTCACAACAGATACAGTTGGTTTCCACTGGTCACGGCTTTGCTCTAGAAGTTCAGGAAATATCTCTTGAAGTCAGTCACTAGTGAGCATATAATGATTATTATGAGATTAGAGCTTATGTGAACTCATGAATTCAACTATTAAATTAATACGATCTGCACAAAACCTCCATTCTGACAGTAATTTATTATAGTGAGGGATACGATATCATTCTCACTTTGAAGATTGCATTGAAATTTATCGCTTGATTTTTTTGTGAATAAGTGAATTCATACTTACTTACTTACTTGCGCCTGTTACCCCTCGTGGAGGAGCATAGGTCGCCCACCAGCATTCTCCATCCACTTCTGTCCTGGGCAATCCTTTCCAGTTGTTATTCATCCGTTTCATAACTACTTATTCCTTCAAATTCCAGGGCAGAGTTTAAATGTTTTGAATTACTTTTTTTGATTAGCGTTTTTTAGCGAGTTAGTTTTTCTACGGGTCGTTAACCGCATGTCCAACCCTCCTCCTTTACCCGGGCTTGGGACTGGCAGTAACTCTAGAAGAGCTACAGGCGGAGTTCATGTAGGTAACATATAGGTACATGTAGGTAACCATTCAGAGTTTGTTAAACTGTTACCTCTAAAACTGAAGGATTATAATTTTCAATTTCTGATATTAAATAAGTTCTGTCAAACTACCAAGAGCATCAAGAAAGTATTTTTTTAACGAAACAGATAAAGTTTTGGTGAACAGGACTCTGAAGAAGATCTACAAAAGCAGTCTGATCAAATAATAGATAAGTACACCTCTTATAACATTCTAACCATATATTCTCAAAACAAACTTCCAAACATTTATATAGTTTTATTCAGACATGAATGGCTTTTAGGTCTATAGGAGAAGTAGAAAGTTTATTGTGGGGACTGATATGTTAAATGTACGAAATTTTCAAGAATAGTCTATGAAGTTTACTGACCAAATCCTTGAGATGACTGGAAATTATTTTTGACATGTTTAGGCTGTAGGAAACAATTAGTATTTTTTTCTGAATGAGAATCTTACAGTTCGTTGTTTGTTACAATATGGTTTGTTCATTGTCTATCTCAGTAAAACGTTTGTAAGAGACAATATGAGATGCTTTGACTGAAATCGGAAAACTTTAAATTACACTATCTAAAGCAGTCTATATCGCCAACTGACTTTGCTTTGTAAAACGATTATAGGTGAAGATCAAAGAACGGTTTAGTAATTTTAGGGTATGGTGGAGAAGATTGATAGCACAGGTAGATGATTTTGATGGAGTTTTGTCCCCTATGCTCTGAGAACAAAACTCCATGAAAAGATTAGGGTATATTTGACTTAAAGATATTGTATTGTATCAAAACGTCTAAAGCTTTTAGCTTACATGCAACCTATTTTTTTCTTTTTTGATGGGCACTATCAACTTCACTTACTTTTCTACTTCGACGAGAGTAAGCAGATTCACTGACATACAAATTAATCTTATGAATAATTTCATACCTTCAGCACAGTCCTTAAATTATAGTTACATTATAAAGATCAGAACTAACATTGACATAAATAACCTGTACATATATATTTCTATATAACCGCTTGTCAATTACTTGATTATCAACAAACCATAAAGTAACGAAGTACCAGGTAAAAATCTGACTTGAATTATTTGAAATGGTGTGGCTAATGAATTTGTTTAGGTGAACTTTTCCCCTTATGATTGTTACAATCTTAGGCGGGAGTTGGGGACTATTAATTCTTTGTGAGTTAAACAAAACCTTCTGTTGACCTAACATTTATTCTCCTTACAATTTCACTAGTGGAATAAGATATAGTCATAGGCGTAACTAATTTATGTCAGTTTTAGAGGATAACTAACCGTCAATGTAGCGAACAAATGATAGTAGTGATTTTATTTTGCGGCCAGATTGTGGTAAACTATCCCATCTAATGGAAAAGTTAATTACGAAGCAATTCGTATGGAAATGAAATCCAGAATACGATAATTTTGCATTCGGTATAGAGTTTTGAAGAAGAAGATTAATTTTGTTCAAAGTCTACGCTGCCCTATGGAGTTGAATCCAAGTGTAATGCATCTGCATTTTTTATTTTAACGCACAATAGTTGATAAGAGTATGCAGTATGGATTGCCGCAGGTCAGTTTCTGACATAAATTTATTCTTTCTGGGAACACTACACAGAATTAAAGTTTAGTATTCTAGGATTGATTAGACACAATACTCACATTAAAATATATGAACCATTGTTCGGGAAATTACGTAGTATACAACTAAGAAGTCACTGAAACTTAAAAATCTGTGTTGAAACATTATATGAGAAAGACAAGTTCATTGCAGCGTTAAACCTAGATAACACTTTACTATTTATAGAAAAGTTGAAAATGGGAAAATGTTAACCAAAGTGAAACCATCCGAATTTCTCACTGTAAAGCTCCAAACTCTATTTTGCACACGGTGACCTAGCTGAGCTTCATACTGATACAAGTTTGTATTTAATTCAACTCATGAGGAGAAAATGAATGAAAATTTCTTCGTTCTGTACTTTTTAAAATGACAAAAGATTTCAAATGATCAGGAGGTAAATCCTACTGTAGGAATGGCAAAGAAATATATTCTGTCGACATCATAACCTTGAACTCAGCCTATTGATTATTATTTCTATTCCGTAAGCTTTCGTAATTGAGAAAATTTTTCTTAACAACAAAAATCTGATATCCCCCTTTGATTCCTTCTTTACCCTTAATTATTTCTGGTATTATTTCATTTAGTTCTTTTCAAGTAATTTCCATTTAAGCTACTGATTAAATGAGTTTTTTTGGTGAAAACATTGATAATAGAAAATTTTCATAAGTCACTGACACTAACTAACTTAGAATAATGAACTTTCAAAGTTGGATCATTTGTGAGGTAATGAATGAAGATTGTTGACAAACTCCAAACTAAAGAAAAACATCGTTTTAATACTTTCTAGTTCATAGATGATGTTGGTTTGTGACTAAAACGTTTTTATGTAGCTTAGGCTATAATAGTTGATACCACTTCTAATATATAATAATGACAATCTTCTAAAGATACCTCTCCATCTTAAGTTGAGATCTTTCTGAAAAATATTTGTAACTGAGGAATGTTAAATTTGGTTTTTAATTTAGTTTCCTTCTACACACAAATTCAGGATCATTTTGTATTTCAGTGAGGACGGCACTATTAGAATACTGAATCGATATCAAACTTTGAAAATGTTCAACTTTAGTCAAGATAACGGAACAGTCATTTAATTCTATGACAGAGCTTCTATATCCTTGCCCGATATGGCTAAACATCGTAGGTTACGGTTTCATTTTTCAGTATTATCAATCAAATAGTATTTAAATAGTAAGCTAATTTTTCTAATAAAACCTATGTTAAAATCGTAAGCGAAGATGGATAGTGTCTAGCAGTGGAATACAGGTTGCGTGTTTCTTCCTATTTGAGACTCATCAGCTGGATGTACCTGCATCTCGGAGTTGATGTTCATTCTAGGACTCGAACCCAGTCCCGTCCACTTCAAATATCATCGCGTTATCCACTCGGCCACTGAGTCCTGATAGCCACTTGCTTGTGCAATGGGGTGAAGTTTAAATTCACTTAGTATTACTTGTTTGAATCTTCCCATTGATGTTTGGGACTGCAACTGTTAAAATTGAATAATCTCCGTCAATTGGTGATTTAATTAAAGTTTATACAAGGCTTTTGTTTACACACATATACGCAGAACAATACACACTTTACAATCTTAACACGTGTATTTTTACTAAGTTAGAGATGTTTTAAATTCTTGCACAATAGAAAATAATTTTTTTCGGGTAAACATGGTAATTGCAAGCATTTATGAACTAGAATGACAGTTTGGAGTATTATAAGACAATACTTCATTGCCTACAGTGTATAACTGTGTAAAATTCCACATGGTTTAAATCCTCCGGTCACGGTTTAGTATTAGAACTCAAGGAATTGAATCTAGAAGCCAATCACTAGTGAGCCAATGATTTTTATAATGAAGGATTTCATGAAAATCATAAGGCGTTCAAAGACATTTTATAGCAAATAGATCATCTTGAGATCACAGTAGAAAACCAACAAACACTGAGCGACCATTTCATTCTGGTATATGACTCAATATTGGTAAATCAAGACTATGCATTCGGTAGTTGAACCCGTGTTTTCAATGGTAGTCTAATAAAGTTTAATTAATCAGCTCATGATACAAAGTCTTTGAAAACTATTATCTCCATCATATCCTACAGTGACGTGCTATCAATTATTGTTAAATCTTACGTTAATATTGTGAATGAAACCGTACGTAACAGTAAAATATAACTCCAGAGACTGGTAATGTTTTACAAATTATTATCAGTTATAAAACAATACAGTGAATTCATGCTATTATAGCAGTTATCCTACACCCAATTTCGATAATGGTTAATTTTGGTTAAGACCTTTTATTAACTTGACAGAAAATGCTATTTCAACAGTAACAATCCGCATGTTTCTTTGTGCCCTTACGATCACTAGTGCACATGACAGACTCTAGTTAAAAGGTTGATTGCTTAAATATCACTCGATGATTCATCGTCCTCCCCATATATGTATGTACTCAAATCCTATTATTAGCCTTTACTTTGCCTCTATGTGCCTTTATGTAATTTGACTATGAATTAGCCGATGTATTTGCACACACATACATATTCACCTCTATGCTTTAAATTCTCTCGATGTGCTTATATCTTCGTGATCAGCGCTATCAGCTAGTAAACTGTAGTTGCCGTGTCTCTTTTTGCCTTCTGATTTCAACCATCGTTGAGTTTTATATAGTATCGGTTACGAGAGTGTTCAGTTAACGAAGCAAAGCCGTGACACCATAAAATCAATTGAAAATATTCATTCAGTTCATGCTTCCCAACTGTAGATAAACATCTGTCAAGAGACCTTTACAACCCCGGCTACCTTGGAAACCATTTTCATTTTGTGATTGCTCAGAAGATATTACACAAATTCCGCTTAAAATGTTATTCGTCATCATTTCACAATCCTGATGATTATTCATTTCGTCTAAATTCTTGTTGAGATATCATTTAACACAAGAATTCAACATACTCATTTCGTTCTATTTACGAATAGTTTTCTTCTCTTCATATACCTTTTTATGAAACTAAACTAGCCATAATTTAATAAATATGATATTTGTCACAAACTGATATCTCCTATAGAACTGTTTAGGTCTTTCTTCTCCACAGAGAACTCCGTATAAGTCTGCACATAACATGAGATAGAGTATTATCAAATATTAAAATGAGGGTGATCTTCAAACAATTTAGCGATCTATACAATAAATTCGACTTCTTATCTATTTTCTATAATAGTTCACACTATTGAGGAGATCGAACCAAAGATACGTGGAACTTGTACGAGCGGTCTAGAGCAACTATCGGTTCTGTTTTTCTGCCTAGCCCAGCCAGTTAAGTCCATAACACCAATAGCAACTTCGGCTATATGAATCATTATTCTGAAACATACTCGGTTTATATACCAAACAGACAGACCACATCGTACCATAAAATAGAAAATAACATTTGTACAAGATTTAGTCAAATGTGGCTGTGAATGTGGGTGGTAGTAATCAATAGACTGGGGATAACTCAAGAATGGTAAATTGTATAACAATGGTTCGTAGGTCAAAATAAAGCTTATAATAGGAGGAACATGAATATGAATAGTTTAGTTAATTAACAATTACACGATAGGAAATATACATATCATATTTGTCCATAAATAGTTCTCAAAAGTTACCATTCATAAATCTTCTCGGGATATAACAATTATTATTATTTCGAATGATTCCGTAAAATTTATATTAAGTGTATAGAATGATTGTCTATGACCTAGTTTTCAATGTACAAAAGAAAGGCGATCTCAACAAGTGTGATAACTACAGGGGTATCACTCTTCTCTCAATACCTGGAAAAGTCTTCAACAGGGTATTATTAAACAGAATGAAGAACTCCGTAGACGCCCAACTTTAAGACGAATAGGATGAATTCCATAAGGATTGATCATGTGCTGACCAAATCTCAACTCTACGGATCAATGTGGAACAATCAATTGAATGGAATTCATCACTTTACATCAACTTCATTGACTACAAGAAAGCATTTGATAGTGTGAACAGGTGTGGTGTTTGAATGAAACAATGATTTCTTTGTATTGATGACTGTTTTGATTTTGATTTCCAAATACAGTACATTCGTTCGTTCTCATCTAATACTTCTTAATTAAATTGCTGGGATTACTAGGTCATACTATAATTCAAATTCTTCAACTCATCATAACAGGACAATACAATGAAGGTAACTTAGATACTGAGGAGGATGCTGAAGAGTCCGATAATAGGACAAAATGGCCATTCAATGCTTCCAGGTTTTCCATGGTGGTCTAGCTTCAATTGAATCATGATCTCAACTATATGAAATTGAATAAATGTCTCTGATCTAGTTTTTAATATATCACCATATATATTGTCCATTTCAAATATAATTAACACGGTTGTTTAAAACTTTCAAAATTGACATCAACATTATTTAAAATATAAACAATCAAATAGACTTCAATATTAAAACTATTTTTATCATTACATAGTTTACTACTTATATGTACTTTTAATATAACTTGACCACTCTCTAAATATGGATAGATGAATGGATTGAATAGATGAGGGGAAAAAAACACACCTTGGTGATGATAATAATAAAATCGACTAATATAAATAGTCACTAAGAGCTTGGCCTTATAATGAATTAAATATTGAATATTACAAAATGACATTCCCTTCAGGATTATTATCCTTTATGTGTTACATAAGTTTTGCATTATATTTTAATGATTTCATACAAACTTCAATGAGTTCTACCATTCAATATCCATCAATGAATCAGATTTTTTCAAAAGTTAAAGAAATTGAAGATTCAAAGAATGAAGTATTCAATGAAAGTGAATCAAAGACATTAGTGATCCATCCGGTAAGATCTGGTCTCTTTAGAAGATCTAGACGAAATGATAAGGATAAACATAATAAAAATCGTAGAAGAAGAGATCGTCATAAGAAAAGTTTACGTTATGTATCAAAAAAGAAAGTATTTGATAAGAAATAATTTCATTGAAATGATTTATACTACTTAAATGAAAATTTTTTTGATTTTATACATTGAAACAATATTGATACTATTTGTAAGTTTAAATGAGATAATCATACGTGTCTTATATAAACAATCATTTTATTTGGAATCTAAACCTAGCAACTATCATTCTATGTTTCTTAAATGTTTCCCATTTAAATACCCTTTTGATTATGAACTCAGTTTATTAAATTAAGACTTAAAGAGATTAACTTGTTCATGAGATTTGTTTAAATAAACATTTGTAATTTAATGAACAGTTTTTGAATTTATAAAATTGAAATCATGAGTCAATTGAAACTAGACCACCAAGGAAAACTTAGAAGTACTGGACGGGCGTTTCGTTTTATTGTGGGACTCCTCAGCAGTGAGCATCCACGATCCCACACTCGAGAGATTCGAACCCACGACTTACCAGTCTCGCGCCTTAGCAATTAACCGATGTTGTGAATGTCTAACTTCAACCATTCTACAAAGCTGAGCAATTGTTCACCAATGAGTTGTTATATCATAACAGACGTGGTTGAACTCCACTTGTCACAGCTTCTCACTAGAACTCCAGGAAATATCTCTTGAAGTCAGTCACTAGTGGGCATATGATTATGATCAGAAGGGATTTTTGTAGAGATTTCAGTATTTTCATAGTTCAATTCATGAGTCAATTGAAGATAGGCCATCATGGAAAATCTGGAAGCACTGGACGGCCGTATCGTCATATTGTGGGACTCCTAAGCAGGGGTTTTCCTTGGTGGTCTAGCTTCAATTAACACAAGATTTCAACTATGAAAATACTGAAATCTCCACAAAACCCCTTTATAATTGATAAAGTGTTAAAAATTCACTTTTTTTATATGTTTGATTATTAACTGACTAAAACTAAAACATAACAATGTCAAAATATAGATAAACATTCTGCCTTTGATGTCAGTCACGTGATTGGGAAATGAGAAACTAAGTACATGATATTTATTAGAGTAGCTGATCACCAAGCAGTAACTACTGTCATTTTTTCTAGTTTAAAGTATCAATATGATTAGATCATTCAAGTTTACCAAATTTCAACAATCTTTTAGCACTTAAGTGAGTATGCTATTATATTTAAGTAGTGTAGACTAGTCAATGGACAGGAACTGAATCAATAGATTTTGAATAGTCAAAATATAGTAGATTAAAAAGTAAAAAAATCAATTTTACTTCCCAGTCTTACAGAAGGTCTTTTACGAGTTCAGTTAGTCAACGATAACTTCTCTTACTCCAACAAAGATTGAAGGAAGTTCCAATCACCCTGAGAAGTATCACATCCTTCTTCCTTCAAATAAACGACTACTGGACTACGTGAAAACAAAGTTTTGCATCAATTTGTTCTGAATATACTTGTTTCCTATGGTTCCTTTTTCAATAAATGCCTTTGTTTGCATAAATTCAGGCTGATGTTTTTTTTATACAGAAAAGACATAGAATCTGGAAATACAAATTTAAAACTATGAATAAGTACATGACACTTTTCGTCAAACTTTTAAATCAAGTTGTAGGGCCAGTGAAATATCACTGAACCCTAGCCAAATCATCCGACAGTTGGGTCACTAAATATCAAACAGGTCATCGATCCCCGTCAAGGTCAAGGACAGTCAACGCGCAACAGTTAGTCATACACCATGGACTGGCCCATGAGGCAGTAGTTCTACTTTCGCTTGTATCTACTTTAACTAATATATTCCTGTAATAACGTCCTTTGTGTTGTACAGTCTTCAAAGCATCGATGGTCCCTTGATACGTAAGGTATTGATCACGAAATGTGACTTCGAAGTTAACTTGTCCGTTACCCCGTTCCCGTCTAACTCAAGTAAGCCTCCAATCGTTCGACATAGATCATCAATGCTTATGGTCTACAAAGTGTTTCATTTCTGACGATTCCCCTAGCTCAAAAAGCTACAAGATCTTTGTACAATTTCCAGGAATATTTATATTTTATGAATAAACGTTAAAGTTATACTGTTTTTTTTCATGCTAATCGTCTTGTATTCAAAGTGAAGAACATTTCCTCTTGACTATGTATCTTTTTTTTCTCTTCTTATCTATGAGACGAAGGTTTATTCCGTTGAAATTAGGTGGAACTACAATAATCTTGTGTAATCTTCATTTTAATCAAGTTTCAGAAAGGATTTCCGTAACTTCTTTTTTTTTTAAAAAAAATTCGTAAATACATTCGTTTTTATAAACATTTTAAGAGGGGGGAGTTGTGGAGATTTTAGTAATTTTATATCGTTAAAATCATGAGTCAATTGAAGGTAGACCACCCAGGAAAACCTGGAAGCAATTTAACCACGAAAAAATTGTTATACTGGGATGGTAGAGACTGGGACTTCAAGTGTTGTTGTCAATTTATCTGCGAATAGAAAACTACTTCTGAACCATTGAAGTTTTGCCTTTTTATTTGCCAGAATATTCGTAAATTTTGAAAAATCATGATGGATGATAAAGGAGTATAATTAACTTTTTTTATCTATATAGCATAGAAAATGATTCGAAATCAGCAAATCAATAGTAATACTATTTGGAACTAAGACAGTAATCTGTAAGTCTTTAATTGAAGGTTACCATTGATACAATTGAGATGATGGAGAAGATTTGTAGCTCAGGTGAATGATTTTCATGGAGTTTTATTTCATCAGCTGGACGGTTTGGTTGTGAAGATTTCATAGTTCTTCTGTACGACATCATCAGTACAAACTTCAGGTACTAAACCATCTACATGAGAGAACAAAACTTCATCAAATAATACAATTATAAGGGATTTCCAACTAAGTGGTTGGTATTGAAAGGGTGTTAAATAGTCGTCAATTTACTGAAGTAAGAAAAGTCTCATAACAATGATTTCGTGTGGGTGAAACGATCGGTTATTTTAAGAATAATTATAACTCACAAATTGATTATTTATATGAGTGCTTCAAAATGATTATATCTTCCATTAGTGAATATCGTACAGCCAATAATTCATTTGTTTAACTTTCCATTAATAAAAATAGTATACTTTTAGTATCTTAGTCAGTAGAAAAATTAAATTTTCTGACGTTTCGTAACTTAGTGTAGGCCACTTCTTCAGAGAAGATTCGATTTACTCAATGCTCAATTTATTAGAAATTACCAGATCAAGTTTTGGTCATTATACCTACAAACTTTTCATCAGTCTTGTAATTATATAATATTTTAATTCTAGTTATTAAATTTTAAAACATTTGAAGTAAATGTCTGCTTGAATATCTGAGCTATTTGAATATCTGCCATTTGGATATATCAACAAGTTATCTGTTTTCTTGTTTGTTTTAATACATCATTATGCCAATTAGTCTTATAACCTATTCAGGTGAGTTTGTGAAACGTTTACAGCTTTTCGCTGTACAACATATTAAAGAGTCCAATTAGAGATATTGTGGTTGCGGGCAATATACATCGAAGACAATACACATTATTCAAATGTCGATTGCTGAACTACTAACATCTAACTTGCGACCACTCAATACTTATCGTAAATACCGATCAAAAAAAAGAAACGGGAACTCGCTGAAATGAATTGTTCTGAGTAACTTATTCTGTATCAAAAATGTGATATTGAATAAAGCCACTAATAATAACAATCAATTGCAGTCTTAAACAACAATGGGAAGGTACATGTAAACAACACCAAGTGAATTAAAACTTCACCCGATCGCACAAGCAAGTGGTTATCAGGACTCATTAGCTAAGTGGATAACGCGATGGCGTTTGAAGCGGACAGTACTGGGTTCCAGTCCCAGAGTGAACATCAACTCTGAGACGCAAGTACATTCAGCTGACGAGTCCCGAATAGAACCTGGATTCCACTGCTATCCACTATCCATCTCTGCTTATAAAGCTAGTGACTTCAGTCAATATCGAGTCAGTCCGCACAGAATGCCCATATGTCAACAAGAGATTGATCAATTGCAGTCCTAAACAACAATGGGAAGATAACAGTAAGCAATAATTTACTCTATAGCATGCAAGTTTGGATTTATAAAGTAGATCAATAAATAAATCGAATTCGTTTTTGTCTTTATACTAAGATACTAATCATCTTCATATCCAACCTCTTATGTTTTATTAATGTGTTTCATTTTTATTGAAATAATATTCTGATTTCTTAAAACAATATACAGTGATGAGCATATTTGAATAAAGACTTCTCTTTTAATGATCGAGAAAAACGTTTGGTTACATTTTCATTGAACATAAAGTCTTTAGATTAGAAGGGGTTTTATGGAGATTTCTGTATTTTCATAGTCAATTGAAGATAGACCACCATGGAAAACCTGGAAGCACTGGGACTCCTCAGCAGTGTGCATCCACGATGGCGCGAGACTGGTAGGTCCTGGGTTCAAATCTTGCGAGTGCGGGATCTTGGATGCGCTTTGCTGAGGAGTCCCACAATAAAACAAAACGGCCGTCCAGTGCTTCCAGGTTTTCCATGGTGGTCTATCTTCAATTGACTATGAAAATAAAGTCTTTTGTTGGATGTCGGTTTATCGGATACATGATATGTCCTTCAGTCATGGTGTTACTATTATTCTACTTCATTATCAGTAGATGGATTATTTGTAATGGACAATGATAAAATTAACCAAGTGTCAACTGAAAATATTTTTAGTTGAATAAAGGAGTTTGATCAACACAATAGTTATGATAGGATAAATGAAATGGAACCTGCAAGATACTCCGAAAGTCGATGTTGCATTTTTTTAGTTAGTTCAACTCTAGTTTTTTATGAATAAGCCTTGAACTTCGACAAAGATCATATTTCATTGATCTCAAACAGTAAGCGTTAGAAAACAACAGAAAGTTTGAACAAAATGATTCTGTTTATTTCTTGCTTTATATATTTGGTATTACCAGGGTTAAACTACACAAAAATAGTAATGGTTACAATAGTGACGAGAATTATAAATTAAGCGTCAGAGGTAAATAAATGAGAACAATCTTATTTTTAAGTATAACTTGAATTCATGTACTCAAAAGTGAGAGGCTCTCTAAATTAAGTGTATTAACTATCGTTTGACTTTGTATTGAACGAAACACGGGTAGGGACAACGGATGTATTCAAGCACAAATTACAAACTATCTCACTAAATTCTGATAAACATACAGTAAATAGTTAATTTGCAAAATAACCATCAATTGTCTCAATCTTCACTGTTCCTTCTGCAAATATCAATCCATAGTCTCCGACTATTATTGTTC